TAAGTAAATTACACTGATCTCTGATCTCGAAGGCCAATCCACCTCCGTTAATCTTTCGAACTGACATAATTTAACATAATTTAGTGTAAGAACTCTCAAACGAGACAAAAGAAACCAAAGATAGATCTATGCGAGTCTACCCCGCTCGTTTTATTAGTCGTTTTCTTTGTTCGTTACTTATCTGTTGCCCGCGTTAATCTCGCGTGCGTAATTATTACAGCGCGCGAGAGTCTCGTTGAGAAACACCCCGGCGTTACTCGCCTGTACCGAGTTTATCAGCGATAGCCGAGATGTTTAGAATATAAAACCTCGTGGCCAAGTACCACTCAGACATTTCTCAGACGGCCGCCCGCGTCGTATGAATCACGGTTATTTTTTCCTTCGATAAGCGATATTTCTTCATGCTTGTATTTATCGTTACAGCAGATAAAACCGGAAGTGACTCGAGTAAATTTCGCAGCAACACGATCGCCAGCCTTCTCGGACTCGACCTTATCGCTGTACGACGCGTTATCTTTTCGCGGACGACAATTATCTCTGGTTGCTGAGCGACGCGAGAATTGCAAAACACGTATTGATCGAACCAAACGTCGATTTTACGACAGAATGCGGAAGACTTCGAGTTGCTTGCAAATATATCGTAGAGGAAACTTGAAAGAAACTTGAGCCACGTGCTTCTCTTTATTTCACCGGAAAACTAAGGCCGGTATTCATAATCAGATCTTCTATTTAAGGTCGTCTTAGGATCATCTTTAGATACTCCGTAGCCAATGAAATGTTCCATACAGCATCTTAAGATAAACTTAAGACGGTCTTGAATGTAAAATCTGACTATGAATACTAGCCTAATTTTCACGAGATCGCGAGGATGACGCGGCAACGTGTCCGAAAAAAACGGAAGAAAATAAGATATTCCTTTCTCTCGAAGACACCGAGCTTTGGTTAGAGATTCGGATAAGAGATCTGCGAAAGTCTCGCGAGCTTTGTTGCGAAAGGAAGAAAAATTACAGTAAAAAAAAGAATCTTACAAGAGAGCGAATATCCTTCTCGAAAATCTCGAAGATAACATCATTGTTTTTTTATTTCTCGGAGGAGAGAATTCCGTTACATATTTTACGGGAGGATCGCAGGAGGAACGCGGGAAACTTTGAGTTGCTTACGAATATATGCAATTTGAAAGAAACTTACGCCATGTGCTTCTCTTTACTTCGCCGGAAATCTAATTGCTACGAAATCGCGAGGGTGACGCGGCAACGTGTCCGAAAACACGAAAGAAAATAAGATATTCTTTTCTCTCGAGAGAAACACCGAGCTTTTTTTAGACATCAATGCGATTAGACGAAAGTCTAACGAGCTTCGTTGCGAAAGGAAGACTAATTACAGCGAAAAGAAAGAATTTTACAAGAGGGCGGTTATCTTTCTCGAAAATTTCAAAGATAAATAAAAAGGATAGTATTGTTTTTTTTTCATTCCTCGAAGGGGAAAATGACATTTTTTGCGGGACGAGCGAAGGAGGACCAGGGAGTTCTGTTCTATCTAATTTTGGAATAAAGGTGGACGTTAGATTAGATTGCAGGGGAGAATTTCTGGAACTTTTCTGAACTTTTCGATCGCGCGGTTTATTTCGGGATCAGATCGGTGTAGACTGAAAAAAAAAAAACATTCGCCGTCGCTCCCGATGCACAACGAGCACGCTATGCATAAACGTCGTCGCGAGTTTAATAATCGTGCCGGCGCGCAGCAATTGCAATCAATTTGACTTTTATTGACGTCCGCCTTGTCGCACGCTCACGTCACTTTACGTAACGCGAAACGAGGGAGGAGGAAGACGTCGCGAGGTAGAAGGCTTCTTGCGCGCGCGGACACGACCTTCGGTCTCGCGAAATTTTCGCGGAGGAGCCTCGGTGCGGCCCGCCTAATCAGAGTTGGCAAAATTCTACATTTTTTTGGATAAATGTCAGTGGTAAAAACCGGCAAAAACTGGTCTTCTCTGTTGAAAACGATAATATAAGTAGAAAACTTTTAGAAAGCACTGCAAAAAAGTATTAATTGTTTCCCGCATAAACTAAAAATTAATGTAAAATTTAGTACCTCCGAAGTTCTCGTTTTAAAAATGTGTATTAATTTCAATAAAACAATTTTTTTCTGAAAAATCGAGGGGGAAACCGCTGAGGGCATTGTGATGTACAGATTTGCGACATTACTGGGCATTGCTAGGCATTAGTGGGCATTGGTGTACAAGATTTTGATCAGCGGTTTCCCCCTCGTAAAAAACTTATTATATTGGTTTCTTCTTAAAATATTGATTAATATCTATGATTTAGTATTTTAAACAAACGTCTTTTTTCATAAAGACTATAAAACTGACTAATACTTATATAAATATATTTTAATTAAGTGTTAGTTATCTTTATAATTTTTGCCAATTTATTCCATTGGATGAAGTCCGGGGCGGTAAAAACTGGAATTTACTATAGTTTCTTTTCCACCCCCTGGACTTTTCCAGCCAACCCTGCGCCTAATCCACGTGTTCGCAATTGCAGGACCATGCGGCGGCAAGACGACCGGACAGACCAGGCTGTGCACATTCTTCGAGAACATGGGCTGGAAGGTAGGTAGAAGCCCCTTTGCTCTTTGAAGAACGAAAAAGACTTTCCCCCGAAAGAAAGGGAGAGAGAAAAGGGAGAAACAGAGAGATCTTCGTTGCGAGTTTTCACCTCCGACTGACCTTTCGCATTTTCTCTCTCCGAGCGGAGCGCCCGCTCGATTGCCACGTTAGCTTTCGATTCGGCAGATGCCGTGTACAGTAACTTAACGTTAACGCAGGCTTCGTTATTGACGGCATAGCCAAGAAAAGGGGACGATTATCATTCTAGAGTCTGCCCGTACTACTTGCGGTACGTCGTTCGATTGTCGCGTGCTATACGATAATTCGAGTCAAGGATAATACATTTGTGGCATAATCTAGCTTTTTCCATAGCTCGTCTCTCTCTGGAGCGAGATTCTACCTAGCCGTAAGTCGCACCGGTGAGTCGTAATTCCGTGCGGAGGTCGATTATAAAATGTCAGCTCGTCGAGAGCTTTGCGGAACGTATTTCAATCGATCCTGTCCCGATGTCGAGTCTTTCTTGAAGAGAAAAAGAAATGTTATCATCAGCAATGATCTTTAAGTCGTTCCAATTGAATGTTGTAAATCAGATCAATTTGTCGCGAATTGAGGCTCTGCAGCCGAGCAGAGATTCCGAAAGGAGACGCGATCTAGTTTCGGGGGGCTCTTACCCTTCGTTTTGGATTCGATAGAGCGGTGGTTGTCTTCTTTTTCAGGTGTTCCGTGTCCCCGAGACAGCGACCGTGCTGCTCAGGTATGCAATTATACGATCACAAGTTTACCAAAAAAAAAAGAAAGAAAGAAAAAGAAAAGCGAGAAAGAGAGAGAGAGAAGTTGGGACGAGAGTCACCCACGGACGAGTACGGTTTTCTTTCGCATTAACCCTGGAATGCTTCCACGATGAAGAACGTCCGGGGAGCGAAACTAGATCGAGAGATATAATCTCGGAGGATTTATAAAATTGGACATTGGAAAGAGTACTCTCAGATCAGTTTGAAAATTTGTCGAAATTTACAGGAAACGCTGTAGACCGTGCAGTACCAGCCAAAGTTATATCACCTTTCGATTTTTTGAGCACTGAACTTTCGTCAAAGTGCATCGCATGTGCTCAAAATTTTACAAGTAGACGCCGGATAACAGATGCGTCTTGGGCACGAAGGGCGATGAAATTTGACGAAATACACCACGATTCTCGAATTTTTCATTCGGGCACTTCGAAAAAATTAGTTGCGCTCGAAAACTCGAAAGGTGAGATAACGAGAGGACGTTACGAAACGTCTCGCGAAAAACCCTCTCGTGCATGTGCGTGCATTTTACGCATTGCAGGGTTAAAAGAGGTCTCTGAGGAGCGAAATAAAGCCGCTCGCCCGCCACTCGCTCTCGTTCGAGTCGCGTGTTCGAAGTCAAGTGTCGCGAAGGAGAATTCGCGAGACAGGCTGCAAAAATTGAACGAATAATTTGCATCTCGTCGAAAAGCTACGCGATAAACTTGAAGATCACTCGACTCTGAAAAATTCTGCGCGTTCGCGCGTTGATTCCATTTCGAGAGAAACGTTGGTACATAGTCGTGGTGTTCCGATAGACAGACGTCCAAACACTTCTAGATGGTCCACGTAACGATAAGCTCCTTCAATTGGCTGCGCTTGCAGCTGCGGGATTACTTAAGCCCGTCCCGGCGTCGCAATTGCGCTCTGCAAACACGTTCGATTAAGCTCAATTAGTTTAAACGCGTCGCGTCGTAGCCGCGCGAATGCCTCACGCAAATTGTCTCATATCTGCCGTCTGCTTTCTTTCCATTTCAGTGGCGGCATCAAGTTTTCAGACCTGAACGCGGAGGAGGGTAAGTCCCGCCGATCATATCGCTACTTTTCGCACACGTTCTCACCCTCTCCCTTTCCCCTGTTCCTCTTTAAGGCCGAATCAGACTAGCAATTGTTGACTCGAATTGGGATTGGCGATTGACGATTGTCGTCTAGCCAATGAGAGCAGATTAAATCGCTGCTTCGCTCTCATTGGCTAAAGGACAGTCGCCAATCGCGATTGGCGAGTGACGATTGTCTTCTAGCCAGTGAGAGCCGATTAAATCGCTGCTTCGCTCTCGTTGGCTAAAGGACAGTCGTCAATCGACAATTCCAATTCAACCCGAGTCAACAATCGCTAGTCTGATTCGGTCTTTACGCTCACGTGATCTTTCGATTCTTGACAGCGCGCGTCTCTCGAAGCGTAAAAAGTTTCGATAACGCGGACGCGCGGGAACGACTTTCGAGCCGCGCGATGCGAGCTCGGGATACCCGAAGCTACGGTAATTGACGCGATTAATTGGAGAAGCGTCGAACTGTCTGACCTGACAGTTCCGGGATTCGCATCCAGCCGAGATGGAAATTACACGGATTAACGATTCAACTGTCGGCCGGCCGTTCCCTCTTTTTTTTTTAATTTCTCGCGATTTTCCGAAACAAATCGCCGACGGGTGCGACTTATATTTCTCGCTTGGATGCATTAGGCTAATATTACATCTGTGCGTCGACAAATTTTTCAAGCGTGATGACTGGCTGCAGGATAGAAACTTCTAGAGACTCGAGAACTTTTTAATTCTGCAGCAAATCAACGCGCTTAAAAATTTTATCGTACGACAAATGTGATATATCAGCCTTGAGCCTATACACTGTAAAAAAAATATGTAAAATTACATACATGATAAGTGTAGCGATTACACTATTAATAACGGAAATACAAAAATTTGTGTTTCTTTTTTACAAAAACTTTTACAAAAAAAATTTTACTCTTTGTTGTGTAGATACTTGTTTATACATGATAAAAAAGCACAAAAAATTGTAAAATTTACAACTAAAAGCAAGCAGTTTACTTATTGTACAAGGTGTAAATTTACTGACTTATGTAAATATATTATCCACTATGATAATTGTAATTTTACATGTAATTTTTTACAGTATAATCTACAAAGTGCTCTCTGCGCCTAGATACATTCTAGTTTATATAAGCAAATCGAAACGCTTAAAAAATTTGTCGACAGTGTACGATGGTACAGCGCAAGTTTTTGAAACGTATTTATTGACTACAAAATAGAATGTTTCTAGGCGCAAAGAGCACATTGTAGATTAGGCTCTAGGCTATTACATTCGTCGTACGGCAAATTGTTCAAGCGTGTTGACTGACTGCGGGATAGAACATCTTCAGAGACTCGAGAACTTTTCTATTCCGCGGCCAATTGACGCGCTTGGAAAAATTTGTCATGCGACAAATGTAATACGACTCGCCTTACCCTGGTCACACGACGGATTGCGTCAACCGGCGCAATCGCGACGGTGAGAACACAAACGCGGACGGAAAAATCCCAACAAGCATTGCGGCGCGAAAGCGAGAGAGAGACAGAGGGAAAAAAAGACCTCGCGTCTCTCGACGCGATGACGGCGAAAAAAAAAGATAAAGGAAACCAGTTCGACCTGTTGTGTCGCGTATGAAACGTCCCCGGGGTCCTCGAAAGCTTCGCCGTGGACCTCACCCGTAAAGTTAAAACGAGGGTTAAACCGCTGAGGGCATTGTGGTGTAGAGACTCGCGGCATTATTAGGCATTTTTTGGGCATTAGGTCTTGCTGGGGCGTTATAAAGATAGAGTAACGCACACTGGGGATTGGTGTATGTACATACATGCTTTAGGTCAGCTGTTTACCCCTCGAGTTAAAACGTCGTGGCGACGAGCGCGGCGGGGATCGAGCTCGTCGCAACATGGCCCGTACATTGCATAACGTTAAGATTCTTGGCTTACGCTAAACTTGGCCTTCCGTTCCACGGTGTGTCGCGCGAGGAGGACTTTGTCCGATCGTTACGCGAAGTTTCGTTATCGCCCTGTCAGCCTCCGCGCACAGCCGCGTCAATCGGTCCACCTTTCGGGGGGGGGGATTCCCCGCTTCTATTTTTAATTTTCTCTCTTGCACCATTATTTCTGCCGCAAATAACTTCGTTACCTCGCGCTGAAAACGTATTGTCCACGCTCGGCCGAGCGGTCGGTGTGCACGTCTTTGTCTTCTATTCTTTTATTATTCAAATATGCCACCTGGTCGCGCGTACGCCGCGACTTTTACTTTCGGTGCCGAGATAAGATAATAATTTCGCTACGTGTCGCGTCGCGGTGGTGGTCGTCACTCTCGAAACGCTCGCGCGCCCTTACATAAGACGATCGCGCGACTTTAATCAGCTCGCCCTTGAACGGAAACGAACGAACGCAAATGTCACACAGGCTTCCCCCGCTTACGTTTTATCGCCGTCAGCAAATATACTGCGTTTCGATTCTCTTGTATACAGATTTTATCATTTTTATTATCACCTTTTACGAGCGCGACTACGAGGTAAACTGTTTCGCGAACGAGCACGAGACAATTCAAAGCGGCTCGATTCCTTCGCCAGAGAAGCGCGTGAAACAGTTTCCGCAAAATGTTTGCGATCTCTCCAAGTTTGCGGGGGGAAAAAACGCGAAAGAAATGAGAGATTCGGGGGATTGTGTTCCACGCCCATCCGCTTGCATCTCGTACTTTAACACTTTGAAGCATGGTGGTAACCCACGTTACGGCCTTCTTTACTTTTTTGGCCATTTAATTTCTAGTTGGAGCATTTAGGTCGGGTTTTTTTTTGGCATTTTTTTGATAACTCAGCAATAAAAGAACATAAAGAAAGAGTTGAGTAGTCTTTAACATTTATTGTAAAAGTTTTATAAATAACCAAATATGGAAAAACAGCAATTTTTTTCGGAAAAATTCATTATTGACCAGGTTCTTAAGATTATTTCTTGAAAACGTTGTACGAGGGATCGCTCATTACGAATCTGATGTCAGATTTTCAAAATTTAAAATGGCGGATACAAAGTACACGAATTTTTTTAAGTTTTAAAGTTTTTCAGCATTTTCGTTTGATTACGGCATTTAATAAGGACTCGTCACATCCACGTCGTTAGCTCTGAGTAGTGCCGAGAATGAGTAAATTCTAAGAAATGATCAAATTTCAATTTTGCATCCGTCATTTCGCGCGCGCTACTTTTTATATTCTATAAGAACCTTCAACTGGAACTTAGTTTCCATGGGTCCTAATAATATCTAAATAATGTTTCTTAGCATAGTTGAATTACAGTTGAATGTTATTCTTAAAAGAATAGGGGGGTATTGAATGCTACATGTAGCATCTAAAAATGCTAATATATAGCATTTTTAAATACAATTACAAATCGTTTCTCGATTTGAATGTGTGAATTCGCTGACGATAATAGCTGCGTTCGGTATTGCAAATCCGCGTCGTCGGAGCGCTCTTCCTCTCCTTCTCTATCTCATCCTTAACTCTAATGTTTGTTCTTTTAAGTTTTGAATTCCGCCATCTTGAATTATGAAAATCGGGCAACGGATTCGTAATCAGCAACCCCAAAAACTCTTGTATACAAAGTTTCGCAAAAAAGAAGGTTCAATACCAAATTGTATGCTTCAAAGGTTTAAATTTCGTCGCGACGGTTCGGCGCTTTCGAGAAGTTCCGCGAGCTTAATTTTTTACCAACCAGCTTCCTCGCGGAACGTAGTAATTGGAAAAAAAAAGAAACAACCGTCGTTTTCGCGTTTACGATGCTTGCGACAAGCCGAGGAGGACCGAAGCTGAAAACGTCGGATTATTACCGCCTTTACTATTTGCCATTTGTCGCTCGGCTATTCTTTCGCGAAGGCGCATTCGTCAGTTGAAGAAGAAAACGACGAAAAACCGACGTTTGCGAAACTCGAGCGCGTAATACGACCCACGCGTCTCGTTCTCATCGTCGACGATATTAGTTCCTTGACACTAATTACAAGTCCGTTACGTTTGTCCGAGGAGAACAAAGTTCATTTAATTTCGTTTGAAAAAGAAAAGATAAAAGGCCTGAACTGCGGAAAGGAGCAGGGAACAACCGAGGGATCCCAAACTCCGATTAAGATACGAAGCTTAATTCGTCCAGCGAGGCTCTTTTTATCAGTTCCTTTTTATCAGTTCCTCGCCCTCTTCTCTCGCGATTCGATGAGCGCGCGCGAAAGCGTGATATTCTTTTCGACTTGAGTCTTCGGTTCCCAATGGTGACGTGAGGCCAAGATCAAGGTTGATTCTAGCGGAGAACCCGTGTCCCTCGTACGCGAAATCCTCGCGTCTAGATCGCAGAAGCGAGGTTTCCTGCAAAAGCGAGGCGAGATGGTCGGAGATCCTGGAGGTCGATTCCGGCGTGGGTGAGTCCGAGTTTATCGCGCTAGAGTGTGGCCCGAGACACGATGAAAGTATCAGAGTAAGACGTACACGGAAATCAGCAATTGGTTTGAAAATATTTAGGCTTCCTTTTTTTTATCAGGAGAGATTTCTACACGAAGAGAATTTTCTCTTAAGATTTATTCCGAGAATCATATAATTGTGGGACAACGCGGCTTTTCGAAGAACTTCATGAGAGTTTGTTGAAATTTTGCCATACATTTTACTATATAATTTTACTTAGTATGCATTTTACTAAAAATGTATGGTGAAATTTCAAAAAACGCCACACTTGAAAAGATATCCTACTAACGCAGGTAGATTTCTAGGTGTCGCGGTAAAAATTTGGCGCTATTTTTTGTATCTGTTAAAAGATGGTTTGTAGCCTGCAAAATCTATAGCAGCAACACTCTGGTACACGGGGAGAATCTTCTTTTAAAATTTATCCTGAAAGTATTGTAATTGTGGGACACAATTGTCCACGTTGTCCCATGATTACACGATTTTCAGAGTAAATTTTGAGGGAAAATTCTCTCCGTGTAATACCTTACGGAAGGTTTAGGTTTCGTGACCAAATATTAATCAATCACATTGGATAAGCATGAATTTCGGTACCATGGCTACAATCTTCGCGAGGAATGACTGTTTACGTACCACAATCAAATGTTGTAATGGATGGGCGCCACAGAAAGACTTTCTTCCTGACATTCGCTAATGGTTGAGATAGAAATTCTGCTTCTGTCATTTAAATTGATTAAATACAAAGCATATGCAATTTCGCAGTATCCGTTTGTACATCTCGGTAATTTTTTCGTACCTAGAAAATTGTCGCTGCCAGTTGCAATATCATTTTTTTCGGCGCACGTTGTCTCACGATTTTCAGGATGAATTTTAAGAGAAAATTCTCTCCGTGTTGTAACAATCCAACAGCAGATGAAATTAACGCCAGTCGAGAATTTAAGAAATAAAATTAAGTGTGTAAACGATCTTACTGGCACTTCTTTATTCTATTATAAAATTTAACATTCTAAAATACAAAAATAAAACATTCTGTGTTCTAACGCCGATGACTAGACACAATGTACTGCGATGTCTTTAACGTTTGACATAATTTCACATCTTAAATTTCGACGAACCTTACATTTGCGGGTACTCGTGTAAGTTCGTGAAGAGGGCCAATATTACTGGCCGAAACGTTGTAAATTTTATAATAGAATAAAGAAGTGCCAGTAAGGTCGTTTCCACACTTAATTTTATCTCTCCGTGTTTTTTATCTTCTTCTATATTTCAATTTTCCCCCACTTGCTGCTTTAAAGTTAAGTTGTCTCGCTATTAATGTATTGAATCGGGATTTATTGTATTATATCGTTCCTGTATTAGAATTTTTCGTTACAAAATTTGACTTGATTCGACTTGATTCTCTTCGCGGGATTGTAGGACGAAGAGCATCTAATTAATGTTGGAAATAGATATTGATCTAATGAAACGAAAAAAGATTTCCAAGTTCGCGAAACAATTTCCGATTGCTAAAGTGAAATTGAAGGGCACAATCTGTGATCAGAATTTCGCGTAACTTTCGAAATTAATACCGCGATAGTCTTTTCAATTTGCCGATTAACAAGTTCGTTGCAAGTGAATTGGCGCACTTTTTCGCGCCGTCCAGTAGACTGTAGAAGCTTATTTTATCCCGTAGCCGTATCTTCCCCGCTTATCGATCGCTTCTCGTAGTCTCGTCCTGCGTGTCGGCACAATATTATGTATTTTGTTCCCTATTTCTTACATTTTTATCTTTACACTTCATTGTGTCTCGGCCTTGGTACGCAAGGCACTCTAGAATTCTCTCGCCGACGAGAGACGAGTCCTCGCGCGTCTCTCCGTTCTCGAGACAAATCTCCTTGTCGATCAGCTACGGGGCGAAGCTACCCGAGATACAGCTTTTCCTGCCGTTTTCAACATTATTGGCAAGATAATACCGACAAAATCACGGGTCTGTAGATATCAAAGACACCGATTCGAAATTCGCGAATTTCGTTTTTCTTTTACATGCCACTTGAACGAAACGAGGATCGTCCGTCCGTCTCGCTGGAATCTCGCTTGAAAAGGGCTTTAATACAAGACGTCTTAGACAACGCGATTAGTATACTTGTATACTCGTATACTTGTTATTCCGAAAATACCGTTCCCGAGGAAGTTTATCGAGCTAGGCATTTCTAGGGCTTTCTTCCTTAGAGCTTTCAGGCTCCCTTTACCGCGATAAATTGCGCGATTGTGCAGGCTAGCGCTTCAAGTATCGCCGAGGTCCACGTGCAGCTCGTCCTACTCGAACAACACCTCGAAACGAGCGGGAACATTCGTTGTATAATGTCGCATTTGCTTTCGCGCGTGTGTTGCAGCGTTCAAATTTCAGGAAAATCTTTTGCGCACGATGATACAAATCGAGAACACGTTCTTTCAACTGGGTGAGAGCTGTTCGAGGAATTGCCTGATCATCTGTGATCGCGGTGCGATGGACGCCTCCGCCTGTTAGTAGAAATCTCTGAAAACACAGTTGAATTAGTTTGGGATTGTCCCAGTATAACGTGAGGATTAACGAGAGTAATTTTTCAGTCATTTCGAAGGATAAGTGGGAGCTTATGATGGCCTCAAACGGATGGAACAACGTCGAACTGAGGGACAACAGGTATTAAACTAAGGATACAAGAAAGTTCACAAACTCGAACGTTCGTTCTTGTCTTCCGTTTCTTGACAATTAGTAAATTGGTCTTCTCATACTTAAATTGTCAATATTTTCATCAGTAAAGCATCCCGTCTTCTCTCCCGTGTTGACCAGGTACAACCAGATTATCCACATGATTTCGGCGGCGAACGGCGCCGAGGAGTTTTACTCCACGGAGGAACACGCGTGCCGCTCCGAGGGCGTCGAGCTCGCTCGCGAGCTCGACTACAAGGCCGCGGCTGCCTGGGTGGGCCACCCGTACTTCGACGTTATCGACAATTCGCAGGATTTCGAGACCAAGATCTGCCGGATGATCGAGTGCGTGTGCCAGAAACTGGGCATCGACACCGGCGACCGGTTGCTCGCCAGCAGCCGCAAGGTCAAGTTCCTTGTGAAGGCGCCGCTGCCAGCGGACGGCGAATTCCCGCCTTTCCAGGACTTCGACGTCGTGCATAATTACCTCCAGAGCAACCATCCCAAGATGCAGGCTCGTCTACGCAAGCGCGGCCAGAAAGGTGAATCGCCGTGCGCCAATTGTTCATTTGACACAATTTTATCACTCGGGAGAGAAAACTTACTCGTGTCTGTCATTGTCGATAATTTTTCGTATTTGCGAGCGAACGGTCCGCCTGGGCATCGCACATTTACTTTTCCTTACGTCGAACGAGACGGATTCGAGCGACGATACGATTTGCATTTTCTCTTCTTTTAGGTCACTGGTCGTATATCCATACGATTCGCCGACCGAAGATGTGCGGCCAAGTGATCGAGGTGAAGACCCAACTGACGCACCGAGACTACCTGAACATGTTGGCCCAGCGCGACGATTCGCACTTCACTATCTTCAAGCGTCGCCGTTGCTTTCTCATCAACAATCAGTATTTCCAGTTAGACATATACAGAGAACCGGCGCATCCCAGGTAACACTCCAATATCTCCATAATCGAATAAACTCGTTGAACTAAGAACTCTGTCCATCTTCGATAGAAAAGTCGATGTACTTAGCGAAGAATCGATAAAAAGTGAACTTTGTTACAGAATCTAAGATAATCTACGCTTTTCTGTGCTCGCTAGCGTTTGCATGCGAAATGTATTAGAAATACTTCGTATAATCAGTTCGGTTATAATTTTTAATTTCACGATTGATTATTAAGTGTTAAAACAGATCCTTTTGTTTCACTCTCACATATGTACTTATTCGTCGTGAGAGAGGAAAAGATATCGCATTACTGTAAGTGTAACTTTGTGCACGCTTTGCAGATGTCGAGGTTTGATGCTGCTCGAGACTTACACGGCGTTGACGGGTGAGGAGCTGAAAAACACTCTGCCTCAATTCCTGACGATCGAGAAGGAGGTCACCGGCAACCCGGATTACAGCATGTTCAACCTCAGCTTACGCGAAGAATGGAACAGCACCAATAAATACTGCCACAATTTGCACGGTACTGTATTGGCGTACTTAAATCCAGAGCTTGGTATCTTTTTTTTTAAAAAGATACAGAGTTACTGTCTGTATCTGTATCTTTCTTCTGGAAAAATAATTCAGTGCTTCTTGTAGCTAAATCGAAGGAATTCAAGAACTAACTTGTATCTATATCTTTGATGAAAACAGTCAAGATACCAAGCTTTGCTTAAATCCTGTAACTATAAGAGCATTTGTTTTCGTTACATAAGTGGATTCATCTCGCATATTTTCTCGTATCTGTTATGCTCGGACTGGAAAGGCCTTACCTTTCGTATAAGCGCAAACGTGGCTCGATGATTCAAACTTTTCCGGCCATTCGAGCTTCACGTATTTCAATCGCGCGAAATAATAGCGATTACCAACGACAGAAACCGCTGTATCTGAACGCGACTATATGAATAGCGCTCGCCATTCCATGTTGCAGGCATCATGCAATTGGCAGAGAATCAAGGTATTCCGACTTCGAAGAATCTACTGACCGAGGTGCAAAGTAACGGTCTCGATTGCAAAACCAGCAGCGCATTGGGTTCAATTACAAGTCGTCAGCAAGCGATCATCAACAAGAGCATCAATGGCACCCAAAACGGTCTGACGAACGGTAAAGCGACGTTCGCCGAGCGATGTAATATAAACAGCGATGGCCAAGAGCCGGAAATTCGCAACGGTGATTCAACCATGAGGCCGGACGAGAGTTTACGAGAGTTGAAGGTAGAACCGCAAAAGAACGGATTTGGTAATAGGTTCTAATGGGTGGGACATGCGAAAAGTCAAGGAACAATAAAGTCTCTTAATAATAAGCAATTCGCGAACGAGTCCGAGCTGTAGCAGGGACTTAAACTTTATCAGTATCGGCGCGAATTATCTGAATTAATATTGAGTGAACAACAACTACTAACGCGATAGACTTCTAAAATTTCAAACAGATAATATCTATTTTTTAATCAAACTTGCGTGTCGTACTTAAGAAATTTTCGTGGAGGGTCTTACGACCAGTTTCGTCAACGTCGATTAGACTTGGATCAGAATCAGGATCCAGCATAAATTTTTTGAAAATTTACGACGAAATTTTCACGAAATTTCAGAAAGTCTCGAGAAAGAGAGAGAAAGATATCTAAAGTTTTTTAAATAATAAATTTTCCCTTCTAACATTTTCTTACATTTTTAAAATCAACAATTTGTAAAAATCCTTAAAATTCCAGATGAAAACGAACATTTGGAGAGAAAAGTCGATTAAAGTCACTTTCACAAATTGTCACTTCGGTCAAACTCTCGTGTAATACTTGATGTCGTTTCCGATAGTAGAAATTAAGTTTTACCATGATTCACCGTAACTCATCGCTTTTTTTTTAATTTCTACATGAAAGAGGAGCAGAATGAGCCAAAGAAGAGTTAGAGACGAACTGAACAGGAGCTAAAGTTACGCGACATTGATGAAACGAGGTCCTAGAAAGTTTTCAATATAGCTCCACTGAGCGATGTGTATTAATGCACCAAATGTTTGTACTTCGCTTTACTTTACTCCAGTTTTACTCTTTATACTCCTCAAGTATTGTCTAACAACTTTCGAAAGCTCGAAAGAACGATCGTGATAGGGAAATGCGCGTATCGTGTTGCGAGGATTCGGCGTTTGGGAACGTAAAGTCTCAAGAAGAAAGAAAAATATCGACGAATTTGAGACAGCAACGCTATCGGGTCACATACCCTAAGGAACGATTAGAACATTTTTTTGGGACTATCGCAAAATTTTTCGAATATAAAGAATTCCAATGTGTTAAGTATCTCAGTCACGTACTTAATGTTAAAAAAAAAGAAAGTTACAAAGACGTTAAAGTTATGTTCCAACGATATAGTAGTATTTTGGTCGATACTTAGGTGATACAATAATATCAAAGTAACATTTTAAAGTGAGCTATCAGATCTTTAGCACTTGTATAAATTTCTACGTGTATCAGAAAAGAGAAATTGATATTAAAATTTTTCGTAAAATTCTTGAAGCACGAATTTTACCTAGTGGTAACTTTGGTACAAACCGCTCGCAGATATATAATGTGATTGTTTTCTAATTAAGATCGGAAAGTGTAAATTTTTAAATGTTTAGATTAAAATTAGCTTGATTGATCGCAGAGTAATGACTTTTTAAGTAAAGAGGAAAGATTTGAGACCTGTAAAACTTTTTAATTGTGTTATTCGAACATTGTTTTCAACGATTACATATATTTATACCTTGTTTTTTTTTAAATCTTTTGGAATTTCACTTTTGATAGGAGACAATTGAATTATGATATATAAAATTCTTTAACTTTAAGGATTGAGAATAGTGCAAGGCTGTATTAGGAATATTTTTGAGTGATTAAGTCTCCCTTTTATCGTCGAGCAAACCAAAGTTTTCTCACTTTTTATATAGAGTATTCTCTCAAACTTTCTGAGACTTGTATATATTCCTTTAGTATGTAGCAATTCTTAAGTTTTTAGATCTCCAAAAATTGTAATCTGATAACTCACTAAAAATATGGCAATGGCGTAAAATAGCCTGTTGCAATCACGGCGAACTCTTAACGATCGAATATATCAGTACTTAATAGGTGCGCTTGCCTATAGAAGTAATTAAGTTAACTATATATAATGTGGCGCAATTATTTTTATCGAATCTACCTACTTCTGTGATTAATTGTACTATGTGTTGTCGATGTAATTGCGAGAGATCTCACGGATAGCGGGATGAGGAAATTGCTGAAAAGAAAGAGATTATAAGAGTATGACTAAGAGAGATGATTATAGAGATGTGATTTGCGAGATCTTTATATTTTGCTCGTGACCCTAAAACTTGGTGATGAATTCTGCGATGACGCTTAGCCACACGTGTCGCTTTCGCATTTTCTACACGCCAAACTGATCATTCACAAATTTTTGCCACTGTTTAGAGACAAAGTGCCTGTGAAACATTCATTCGCGGAAATAAAGAGAAAGAAATATATATGTATATATATTATATATAAAATATATATATGTATAAAAAACACGAAAGTCTATATTTTCATTCAATGATGCAACAGTGAGTTATCAATGCGCACTCAGTTTACGTAGATAATGGATCTGAGAAAACAGAACGTTGTATCTATAAGCGTCTAATAAAACAATGTCACGTGCCTATCATGTCTTATGTCTTCACCATGTGCTAAACCTATTCAAAGTGTCTCAACAAATAATTTTTTTAAGAAAAATTTATTCTTTTAATTAATACTCGATGTCTCTGGACAAATCTTTAGAACAATCTTTTGACTAAAGATACATGTTTTGAACAGGTTTGGAAAAGAAAGGCGCACTTTTACCAGATTTTATCTATTGTATTAAGTTTAAAATATTTGCCCTTTTCAATTGTGGCAATCCTTTAATGACCTTTTTTATGCGCTTATTACATATATTTTATTGATATATTGGGTATAGAAGAGAGTACAAATTAAGCGAGACGTTGTTTCAGCACAGCTGAATCATTTATTGGCAACCTTTTAGAAATCCTCGGAAACCTGAGGAGCCTCTTTTGAATCACGATAGTTCAACTAAACTCTTGGTTTCTCACTGTTCCTCCTATTTTGATCTATTATCATAATTACTTATTATTTTCTTCTTTTCCAACAGGTAATTAACGTGTTAGTAAAACACTGTTTAACCACTTGAAGTGGATGAAGCTGGGTAAACATTTAGTTCGTCCTTCTATTTTGCTTCGACCTATTAGCGTAATTAATTTTTCGTTAGAAAGATTAATGTATTAGTAAACGACTTCTCCGTCATTCGCAATATCTACCAGTGTTGCAATTGCATCCGTCTCAGAGCATCAAATTTGTCTCGTCGACCGCAGTTACAAGGAAATGTAAAAGAAACATTTGTCTTATAAAAAAAAAGAGCAATACAATCGAGCAATTGCGCTTGGATTAATCCTAAATTCACAGAAACGCATGGAAGTATTATATATCAGGTATATGACTCTTTGTATGCGGGAAGGGCTACTCCAAATTCGACGAATAACATCATATATTATTACATACTCTGCGCCTGGATTCCATTATACAGTGGGCTGTCATTTGGTATTCTCGCGAACGAACAGCATTATCGAGTGTCTAGTAAATAATTGGCTAGTAATGATAAATACGGGAAAACAAGATAACGAGAAGACATGTCTCACGCATTCGTTGCGTTACGAAAGACAAATTTTAAGAAGGCTACGCACGCATCGGGTGGAGTCTCTTGCGAATTTATGCGAGACGAAAGGTTCTCGGATACAGTTTCCTATCCTACACATCGTTTATTCGCATTGGAAGCATAAATCAGAATTTCCCTTCTCCTTTCTCTGTACATCTACGTCGATTTTGCTCGCGCAGCCGTTTAATTGAATATATTAATCTAAGACGAGATCTCGATTAGTCCCATCGTTGTACGTTAATAGCTTCCACTCTGCTGATAAAAAGACTTGAAATTCGAGTCTCGAGAGCGAATTAAAAGCTCTCTTCGCAATGATCCTTTCCCATTTCTCCTATGACTTTTGCTCTCTCATAATTTACGTGTCCGCTAAAAAATCTTCCGAATTATTCTTTTCAGAAAATCCTTGCCGCAATTATCTCGTCCGTTAAAAGCTTCTGCAAGATCCGTTTAATGTCGCACCGGGGAAACTGCTCATACGTGCACTTTTCCGATTCGCAAAAGATACATAACGATTCGGCTAGAAGACAATCTCATCCCCTACTACTATGCCAAACGAAGGAATAGTATTCATCTAGTTTTGGTTTGCTGCTGCTGCTGCTGTTGTTGCGCTTTGAACTGCTTGTAGATCTTCTTACTCGGAACCAACAGTTGGCACAAGCCGGGCCTCTTCTTACGCTTCCTGTTCGCCGTCTGATTGTTCTCTTGATCCACCTCGTTCTCGTCGTCGTTCGCAAGTGGCGGTAACTGCTGCTGCTGCTGCTGTTGCTGTTGCTGCTGCTGCTGTCCGTTATATCGAGTCTGACAGACCAGCGTCTCCTGCGGAGTTCGCAGGGCCTCCAATTCGGCCGCGCTGCGATGCAGATCCGAGTCATGGGCGAAGGTGCAGTTGTGGCCGAAGCGGCAGCGGCCCTTCCGATAGTTCCAGCAGATCTTGCGGCCGTTTATCATCTTCGTGTCGTCCAGCGTGGGCGTCATCTTGACGTGCTTCTCCAGAATCGCGCTCTTCGCCCGCTCCGCCTCGACGAACGGATTCAGGAACACCGAGGTCCTCAGCAATGTGGGCGCGCTGTTGAAATCTGGCGTCGGCAATGGAAGCTTTTCTCTGGAAGCTGTCGTTTCGGTTACTCTCACGTGTCCACCGTTCTCCTCCTTGTTATCCTCCTCTTCCTCGTCCTCCTCCCTCTCCGACTCCACCTGCTCGGCACCCTTAAAGCTAACGGTGAGGCAATATCAGATTACAAAGAACAAGCCGCATTCTGTACGTATATACCGGTTGCTGAACTCAAACGAACGCACGGCAAAGTGTGTCTTTCCTCTCCGCAATTTAATATCCGTCGATAGCATTAAGGGACGCAATTGTCTTGCACGAAAGACGGTCGAGTTTTGCAAGACATTCTCGCGCGAGCCCCACGCCGGAGCTCGCAGTGGCGTTTGCGTCTCGCGCCGAAGCTCGGGAGCGAGAACAAACGGAGGGCGAGCCGTTTCCGCGCAACGGCCCGAACTTACGCATTCGAGATCTTCCGCTTAGCAAAATATTTTCGTGCGAGCCCCACGTCCGAGCTCGCGAAAGAGACCGAGAGCGAAAACAAACGGGGGAGGGGGCGGTTTTTGCGCAAAGGCCCAAACTTACGCATTGTCCGAAACGTCGTCGTCCGCCTCGCCGTCCGAGCCCGAGGAAGTCCCGTAATCCGCGACCAGGGAAGCCATAGTGACGAGTGTCAACGAGTGTCACCCGCTCGGACCCAACAAACTGGACCGCGAGTCTAACCGTACGACCTAATTAATCTAATCATCGCGCGAGGCCAGATGCCGACCGCAGGGCCTGGGGGGCCAACAAACTCTGATGATCTGATCGGCGAGCTCGCGACGGCGCACGCAGCGCCGTCTGACGGCGCGCACCGAGGATCAATGGCCGCGTTCAGCAGACACAACTGTTGAGTGAGCGCTCAGTATGATTGGTTAATACTTTTAGATCCAGCCAATCATATTAAGAAATCAATGGCCGCGTTCAGCAGATACAACTGTTGAGTGAGCGCTCTGTATGATTGGACGCGTTCAGCAGACACAACTGTTGAGTGAGCGCTCAGTATGATTGGTTAATACTTTTAGATCCAGCCAATCATATTAAGAAATCACTGAGCGCTCACTCAACAGTCATGTCTGCTGAATGCAGCCATTGGTTAATACTTTTAGATCCAGCCAATCATGTTAAGAAATCATTGAGCGCTCAGGGTGGCGTCCCATGGAGCGGAATACGCGGAAGCGGAATCAGCGGATCGCCAATCGCAAGATTATTCTGATAGAGCCCTTTCAAAAATTCCGTCGAAACGGTCTTGTGATTGGCGATCCGCTGATTCCGCTTCCGCGTATTCCGCTCCATGGGACGTCGCCCTCACTCAACAGTTGCGTCTGCTAAACGCGGCCATTGAGCGCTCACTCAACAGTTGTATCTGCTGAACGCGACCATTGACGCCGTCTTTAAAATAAATCGCACCTAAACTTGAGGAAAAGGCGTATCACGGTCATTTCAAGGCGCGGCGTACCTTTTCTCGTGAATAACAAAGCGCGTTGTTCCCCTCGTGAAGAGTGAAATCTTTTCAAACGCGTTCAGTCAATTGACTAGAAATTGAACGTTGTCTGCGTCAAGTACTTTACAAATATAGCGCGTTCGCCGCGCATGCGCGGAAAACCGGGCCCGCACGCACAACTTTCGACCGAACGTGTCTAATGTCCGCGAACACTTCATGACGCCCGAAAGATTCGGCGAAGCGGCAGAAGGAAGACCGGGCTGTTGAAGGCGTCTCGCGTTAACCGGGAAAATGGCGTTATCTTGTGCGAGTGAGTATCCGCGATTTGTGTAGTTCATACGGTTGCGCTATCGTTCCCTTTGACCCTGCTGACTTTTCGATTTGCGCGACGACCCTCGCAGCGCGACACTACGCCGAAAAAGTCCGGGAGTTTCATACCGGCGTAGTCGAGTAACATAACCTAGAGCACGCTTTACCGCATTTTCACTAACGAGCGTACAATTGTGACGCGACTGTAATATGTAAAACAGACAGTCCGCTGCAAGGAGAACACTTTACGGAGACACGAATTTCTCGTAGTACAAGTGCATGCGTTACGTATACGTAACTTGTAATCAATGCATAAATTGGCAACACTTGGATGGGAAGGCTGGTCTACAATACATGGAGTAAGCTGGAGTAAGGAGTAGGAGTAAGGAAATAAATCCA